ATGGCTTACCAGTAGAAAGGGAAAAAATAAGTCGACATCGACATTATTAAATGTAATAAAAAACGAAGAAACCGTCGTGAACAAAAACATTATTTAACGTGAAAAACGACGTGTATGAACGGGAATCAAGACGATCCTTAAATCCCATTGCTACGAAAAAAATCGAGCATCGAAGCGACGTAAAAATTTGGCTAATTATAGGCAACATGCCCTGGATGAAATGCTGTCAACAGATTTGCCACATCTATAATTTATTCCAAAGTGATCGAGACATGTCTTGAGAAATATGCAAATAAGTTTCTTGCACGCAACCGCTTGGTTCAGTTTTGTCTGAATTAGAAATTCTGTCTAAAAAATAAAACAAATCTGAATTGGTTTACAAATCAAGCAAATAAACGTGGTATTCAAACGTGTGACATTTTGTTATCCGAGGTCCTTCAAAATTCCGTACATTGGGGTCACTAAATTTTGTCTTTCTCTTCCCGTCTGTCATCTCAAGTGACCCCTAAAATTTCCATCGTTATCCTACTGCGTTAGTATTTCCTTAACTTGAGAATCTTATTTACCTGTAAGATAAAATAAGGTAGAAATTGAAGTTAATTTTTCTGCTACGACTTTCTGTTTTCAACTCAATGACATGGTAGTTGTTTAATTACACAAAGAAAGCAGTTTCGTGATTGAACATTTTCGATGAAATGATCGATAAGACACCACTAAGTCATCAATCACGAGTTTTCGATTCCCTCAAATAGGCCATATGCCTATGAACCCTCAAGAAAAAGAGAGTAACTGAAAATGTAATCGTTTGTCTCGCAATGAAGTTACTTCTGACTATGCATCGCAACGTTTCGACTGCTTACGGCGAGTCTCACTTAGGCGATATGGTCGACTGCAGGTAAACGTTACCTTACAAACAATTCTGCTCAGCTGTGATTGGCTGGAATTCCAAAGCGTCTACATCGCCTGAGTAAGACCCGCGTCTTGCAGCGCTAATCATGACGACCTGCGGACAGGCTACCTAAAATATTATCTATTATTATTATTTTATCAAATTACTATTTTTTTACTTGTGTATTGCCATTGTACATGACCTGAGATTTGACCCTAACAATATTTTTGAGTTTCTGTTTTTATTGCAGTTTATGTTTTATTGACGCTTTCCTGGTTCTTATTGGGTTCATTTGCACAGAATAACAGTAAGTTGGAACATTTATTTCTGATAATCAGCATCAATTTTATAAACAGGAAAAGAGCTAAACAATTAATCCAAGACAAATCCTTCCGGAAATAATCATATCACCCGTCTTATAGCTGGTTAAGTACAGAAATCCTTGAACAAGTATTGCCAGGAAAGTGTCACACAAGCAAACCTTGCTTTTTGAAGCAAAGAGTGCAATGCAATTGTTTTCAGTCGAACACCCGAAATTAAGTTATTCTGCAAGTAGCTCATTAAAAAGTTGAAAGATTATTTTCTTCAATAAATGGTAGAGAGACTCGGAGGAAAAGAACTTCAATAGGAGTTAGACCAGCGAATTCCAATCAGTACTTCGAACGCTCAACCAGTGAGCTTTTGGAGACTCGTAGCAAACGAAGCCATTTAACCATGTTCATGGTGACAAACTTCCTGCAAACTGCAAGGATAGGAATATCGATTTGTAATACCACTGCGCAATGGTGATATTAAAAAGTTATAATCAACCTTTTTTCCAGGTTGTTCCATTATTCCGCAAAGAGTCAATGCTTCCAGATGGCACAATACAACTATCACGAGTCGCAATTACCCTATGAATTACACTAATAACTTGGAATGTAATTGGTTAATTGAAGTTGTCAGTGATCTTCCATCCGTTGGTTTTATATTGAAGGTGACATTCAATAGCCTTCATTTAGTACAAGGCGGGTATCCTGTTTGTGAAGACAAACTTGAGTTCTATGATGGTAACACCACTAGTCTGTCTAATCTTCTTGGATCATATTGTGGAGAAGTACCTCCCGAGGTTGTTTATTCTACTGGACAGCTCTTGTACGTCAAGTTCCAGTCAGATGGACGTTATTCCGACAGGGGATTCAGTTTCAATGTTTCGGCTGTTTTGGAAGGTATGTCAATAATTACTCGTCTTGTTTATTGTAGTGCACCTAGACTTCCCTTTATGTCCATACATACGGGAAAAAAGGAGTGAAAACTGAAAAAAGGAAGGAAAAGAGAAAAACGAAAGGAAGAGAAAAAAGAAAAGAGGAAAAAGAAAAGGAGAAAGGAAAAAGAAGAAAAGTAATTAAAAGCACATTAAAGAAGAGTAAAGGAAAGTAAAGTAAATTATAGAAAAGTAAAGGGAAGGAAGGGAAATGAAAGGAAAGAATGGGAAGGAAAAGAAAAGAAATGCAACAAACTTATACGCCGCCAGGTTAGTTCAGGTTGTAGAGCACCACAATGCCTTGCCGGAGGTTGAGGTTTTCGTGCTGCCTTTGCTATGAAATCTGCGATCGGCTAGACGTTCCAGTCCTATCGAATAACGAAAATAAACCGTAGGCGTCGTCCCCTGCATCTTCTCTGTACTGGTTGGCTAAGGACGTTAAAGAACCCACGCACTTCACGCAAAGAGTAGGGAATGCTATTTCCAGTGTTGTGGTCTGGCCTTGTTTCCCTTTGAAAAAATCCCTAAATTGGGGGCACCTGTAAAATTTCCTTTCAACATTGTTAACTACTTAATGCAGTCTCGTTTAAGTCTTCTGCAAAGTGTTGTAAAGCGCATTAAAGCTTGTTCGCATGGAAAATGTGCTCTAAAAATGCGTCATTATCATTTGTAATTTAAACGATAGATTTGTAACTTATACGATAGATTTCAAACTGGAGTGCGAGGTTCATCGACGGTTCAGTACTACATTTTATCCCTGGAATGGTAATTCATGTCTGTGTCGTCTTTATTCCATTTAGAGGAAGCCGCTGGTATTTGTCGTAGGACAGACAGACGAGATAAAGTCCTTGAGCTTGGTGGGTCATCTGGTACATTCTTTACCCCAGATTACCCTGTTCTTTACCCAATGGGTGTCCAGTGCACTTGGGTGATCTCCGTTCCTGCTGGACGGAGAGTGAAGTTGGCATTTGAAGACTTTAACCTAGGATTAAAAGTTGATGTTATTTGCGAAAATAGGGATTCAACAGATTATGTGCGCATACGAGATGGGCGAATGGAAGATAGCAAAGAGCTTGCTCTGTTTTGTGGATGGCACCAGCCGATTTTGGGAAATATATACGATGTTTATTCCACAGGAAATTATATGCGGGTCACGTTTGCCGCCTTAAGACTCAGTCAGTTAAGTCGACTTGCCTCGAAAGGCTTCAAGGCCCGTTACCAATCTGTAGACGCCTGTAAGTAATTTGTCGCTTATGTCGAGATGAGAAGATCAATGTCAGTATCTGAGCAACTGCACACTTACCCCTCCCCTAACCCAACATTTACCCGTACTTGTAATCGTTTAACTTTTCGGTGGGTTATGGGAGGGGTAGGTACGCATTTATTCGGATACTGACATTGATCCAAATGAGCGTGATTTCCGACTAAAAGGCAGCTCTATTACAGCAGTATATTCGTTATAAGAAATAGATAAACAATAGTAAATCTATATTTACGTGTGAAACCAACCCTTCCTTTTTGTAAGGTTCACGGCCCATAACAGTAACGATAACGGTAACGATAACATTAACGATACCGGTCACGATAGTGCAGATAATAAACGCAGAAAATGAAGAAGGTAACGGTTTCAGTTGCCACAGTTACTGAAAAAACCTTAAAACGATGATAAATTAACTCGTTGTTTATCCCTTTTTCATAGCTCCTGATGCTTACTCTAAAGAACTATGTTATCGTGGAAACGTTAACAATAACAACCTTAAATTAACTGGTTCAAATGGAACTCTTAGAAGTCCAGAGAAGAATTCAGCTTACCCCCCAGATATGAGCTGCGATTGGCTAATCACTGTGCGAGATGGAAAAGTTGTGAAACTCAGCTTTGACATGTTTGAATTGCAACCCAGCTTTGGCCAGCCATGCACTAAAGATTATGTAGAAATCCTAGATGGAAAGGACAGGAGCAGCGCGAGCAAAGGAAGATTCTGTGGTAAAGAAAAACCAGAGGACATTCAGTCAAGCGAACGGTACATGAGGGTCATATTCAGATCAGACGCTTCAGCTGCGTATTACAAAGGTTTTAAGGCCACGTTTAGAGAAACTTCCAGAGGTACGTTTAACTGACTTTCGGGGCTGGATATTTTTATTCAGCAGTGCCGAGGAGGGGAATTGGAGGATTTCGGTTGCGTTGCCTTATAATTTACCGGTCCATTCTCCCCCCACCCCACCCCCCTTTATGGTCTTTAGCATTCTTATAAATACCTCTCTCATTGGCAGTCAATTTTCCTAAGCCTTCCCTTTATACTATCTTCGCGACGACCGATCCCCCTTCCATTATCCCTGAAAACTATTTTAACTATGTGATCCCCAAAATCCGTCGATGCCCCCCTTCCCTAGGTATTAAATAATGACAGGTTCCTTAGGTGAAATTCTTACTGGGCTGTAAATTAGATTAAAAGTAGACGACGTCTCTCTTGGAATGAGCTCAGCTAAATGCCTGTTCTCTTGATTTCTGTCTTTAGGTTCCTCGACGTTCAAGGCTATCGCCTGCACAGTTAGTACAATTGTTCTAGCTGCTGTGATGATTGTCTGAGTGCTGTGTATCTGGAAGAGCAACAAAAACGAAAAGACAATGCGAGAATTCATTGTAAAAAGTTACTGCTGAAGTCTCCCCTCCCTTACAGTCAGGATTGCTCGGTTAACACTCCCCTTCATTACAGAGACCATCCGTAGATTTTGCTCCAGCTCCGTCAAATGATTATCGGCTTGCCTCAGTGTACCAAAATCTGATACAAAACCACCACTTAACCTTGGAGAAAGGAAGCTCCACCGTAACCTCTCACAGGAAAACTGTAACTGTGCCAGGCAAAAAAAAAAAACATTTTGCAGCGTCAATCACACACTTTATTACAGTCCATAAGTTGTGTAATAGTGTATGATGATGTACCCTATTTCCACGTGAATTTAAATTTTTTAAAATTTAAACAACAGTTAAAACTGTACAGATACTGTATAAATATTTAGTCAGAACGTCAGCATATTTCCATGATATTTAACCCTTAACACCCTAATATTAATATGTATAATCTCCATACTGTCCTCTTTACATTTCCTAAGGTGCCGACAAGGAGAATTCGTTTAACAATCGAGAGAGTCTTTAGTCGGTGATCATTTCCTTGATTCTCATGACCTTAATGTGTGATTCAGGGGTGATATTGTGAGGAGAAATTAGATGTTGGTCACTCTTAGGGGTCAAAGGGTTAACAAATAGATGCTATTTGTCGTGCTTCTGTTCATTCACAGCTTACAGATGACGTCAAAATGCGGTAAGAACAAAACCGCTGGTTCAAAAGCCTGCATTCCTCGGCATGACGACAGGATTGTACAATATCATCTGATTTTGTGTCTTTCGAAATTCATAACTTGTAAGATAAAATTAATATAGACGATAGCATTAACACATATTGTTATAACTGAAAAGGTTAATCAAAATAAACTACACGAATACTTACCAGAAATTAAAGCAATGCCTCCATTAACTGAAGCCGTTAAATAAGAGAGTTGTAACTCGAAAGGGAGTAAACGTAATGAATAATATGTTTCTCTTAGCTTGCGTAACGGCGGTATTTTCGAAGTTTGATGAAAATTTTAACCAAGATTCACAGACTTGCTCCCTGTCCTCTCCCAGGCCCCTCTTTACGTCGTCTGTCTGTTTTCGCGGTTCTGTAGCTCCCAACTCCCAGACAGCAGTCAAGAGCGCCAGCTTCCTTGAAAGGAATACCAAATAAATAAATAAATTGCTGAATTCTCAACATAATTTTTTGTTCATCTACCACTTAGGATCCCTCGTCGTCGTCCCTATTGTTGTTATTCAGTTGCACAGGAGGGAAAAATGTGGAAGGTTAAATTTCGTGGTATTATATTGTACTGAGATTATTCCGGCATAGAGGGTTATTTGGCCTTTTGTTTGACTAGCCGTTTACTATATCCTACTTCTTAGATGCAAAAAATTGCTGTATCAAGAAATTCTATACTTATCAAAGTTCCTTTGAGCTTGAATATCAAATAAAGGATTGCATTTTGCATACTAGCAAAATTTATAGCGAAAACTTTTCAATATTTTGAGTAACTTTCAGGCATTATTTTATTTGTGACCATTCTTCTGTGCATCAGAAATTACAAGGGTCTCCAGCGCCTATCAGAGGTATGGTAGTTATGACGAGAGAGATCAGAGCGATGAAGGCTTGTTGGAGCGGAGAATGTAGCCAATCCTCTGTCAAGCTTTAATGAAAATCGTATACGACAAACAATGAATCGGTAGGAGCACCTGCGAAGTTAAAGGAACAGAATGTTAAGTGTGATGTTTTTGACTGAAGCGCTCACTATCTTCAATGATATGTAGATTTAGCCAAGCTTATAATTATGCATTGCAGGCCAATTCTTTCGTTCCCAGTTCCTTTAGAATCCTTACAACATCGGTGCGTAAACAGGGCATATGAAGTGCTGATTCTCTCGAAATAATCAAATCTATGGGTATGGAAGCCGTCACGGCCAGCCACATTTTGGGTAAGTTTTCTATCTTGTCTCTTAGCATGTTACGAAGTGCTCCATTCGTCTGTTATGTGTTCAGTGCATGTGTTAATACTTCGTGACTCCGGGTGTGTTCTTCAGCCCCACGCTGAATTCGGTTGACAGCTGATAGCTTGTGTTAGCATGGGTACAACAGTCTTCCGTGCAGTGGTTGAAAACTAGCTTACCATTGGAAACCGAAATGAAATTTATTTTAAAATATTACTGTGAAATCCAACACAGGGTGTTTAGCAGACTGCAAATTGGCTGTCAATTGTGAATTTTCGTTACCTGCCGATCAGTTGCAAGCATATACAATTATATTTGAAAAAAAAACGTATCAATTTTGTAACAGGTTTCGTAAAGGTGAAATCTGGCGTTGGATTGAAACACTGACAGATATTTGATAGTTGGCCATTCGATACTGTCAGATGTGCAACATGCAGAAGCTCCTTATTAAATTGTTTCAAACGATCAGAGCAGACCATTTAAAGCCTGAGGCTATAATTGTAGCAGGGAAGCAGAGGCGGAGAAGCCAAGCCTTAAATTATTTTCCTGAGAAATAATCTTTTCTCGTAAAAAGAGATTCTACAACCAGTGTTTCATAGCTTATTCACTGACTATTATTTATATATTTGCATTTTGTTTTCTATCAATGGCTCTTTGATAAATGTATTTATTGATTTTCATCTAATACAGTCCTCAGGTGAATTAATTGCTTTTAATTACCATCATCTAACCCTTTACACCCTAAGATCTGCATTTTTTAATTCTCTGCACTTTTCTTTATACATTTCCTATGGCAATTACAAGAAGAATTCTTGTAAAAATTCTGGAAAAAATAAGGAGAACTTTAATTTCAAGTGTACCATGATTTCCTCAATTCTTACAAGCCTATAATTGATTTTTGATTCTGGAGTGAATACCTAATAACTGGTGAGAAATTAAGGGGCATAAATTTCTAAAGAAACTTTGGTGCTGTGTTGGTGGGAGAGAATAACAGGATAATTAAATATTATCAATTGACTTGATTTGGTAAATTGGCCACTGTAAGAGTTTAGAAGCCAAAACTCAGCTTTTAAACTCTTTACAGAGGCCAATTTACGTTATCAATTGACTCAATTGATAATAATAACTACCCTGGTGAAAAATTAGGTGCTCACGGTCGCCCTCAAGGGTTAAAGGGTTAGGTCAAGGTACTCAGGCTTCCAACATCCTCTTCTGCATCAGGGTCAGTTAACCCTTTAACTCCCATGAGTGACCAAGACAGAATTTCTCCTTACAATATCAATACAATATCAAGCAGACAAGTGATAAGAATAAAGAAAAATATAAATTAAGGGAATATTAGTTGATCCAATACCAAATTTTCCAAACAAACATCACAAGAACTGTATGGGAGACAGTAAGGAGAATTACTAATGAGATCTTGAGAGTTAAAGGGTTATTATAAAAGTACTGTGAACATAATTATTAGAACTAAAAGGAGTTTCAGAGCTGCTCTCATGATGCTTACATAGCAATTATGATATTTTTTTCAGAATCATGGATTGGGACACATTAAAACCTCTCTCTTAACAAATGATTTAAAAAGAAATGTTGTCCTACGCAAATAAATTAAAATAGGCTTTTAGCATTCTAGCCTATATAACAAAAATTTAGGATCATGTACTGTTAAAGTCTTGCTTGGAGCATTTTAGTTTAATTCCTAGGGCATTTAATTTGCTTGGAACATTTTAATGTTATTCTGCTAGCTTGCAAATAGTCACTCATAGTCAGCACTTTGGCACTATGTTGCCTGTGGAATGTGTATATATACAGCCTTGAGCAATGAGAACCAGCACAGAGTTCACAATGGGTTGAGATAAATTGCCTGAATCCTGGCAAACCTCTCTCCAAATCATGTCCAATCTTCCTGCAGAAGGAGAAACCCAAGTCACTCAGCAGTAATAATGGTGGCTTGCTCTCTTAGGCTATAATTCTACTCACATATTTTAGTGTTTGTTCACTAACTGATAGCAGTGTGTTGGATAAATTTACCAATGTTGATTTACTTTAATCACTGGTTAATACTCAACACTTTTGATAGAAATACAAGTGGGTTTGGATGCCTGCATGGATGTTTTTTTGCAGTGAAACTGCCGTTAATTCTACATTATACATTAGACAATAAACAAATGAATATATTTTTTTTCTAACTAATTAACCATTGTTTTTAAATAATTTCTGTTCTACAGCTTTGGTGTTGATTTTCTTATCCATGCATGGTGTATTTACTCAGGATTCTGGTGAGTTAATCTTCTGTATGTGGAACATTTTTAATAAAATTGACCATTTTTCCATCCAATCATCCCCTGATCTCCTCTCTAATTGTAACGAGGTGAAACCATTCCCTTTTATATCCCTTTAACCCCCAGAAGTGATTAACATGTAACTTCTCCTTATGATATCCAATTATTCAGCAAACATCTGGTAATGAGAATATTCAAACTTATAAAGTAGAGGTTGTTATCTTGATTTAGTACCAACTTCTCATAACTAATCCTCAAGGAAATGTTAGGCAGCCAGAGAAAAGAGTTGACAATCAGATCTTGGAAGTTAAACGGTTAAGTTAGGTTTAGTTTGTAATTCAACCTTAACCCTTTGCACCAAACATCAGTGTGTATATTCTCCACACTGTTCTCCATAAATTTCCAAAGAGGCTGATAAGGAGAATTTGTGTAACAATCAAGAGCTGCTTTAGTTGGTGATCATCTCCTCTCTTCTCATAACTTTCATGTTTGATTCAGGGGTGATATGGTAAGGAGAAATAACATGCAAGTCACTCTTAGGAGCTAAAGGATTGAAATTTAAAATCTGTTTATTACAAAATTTACAATTTTTAATGGTTTCAACTTCTGTAATAGAAGTTTTTGCCAAAATCTTTTTTTATTCAGTTTATATTCTAATTTTAAACATGCTATTACCCTTTCTTCTCCAAATATCTGATCAGCAACTTTCCCTGGTAGTGCATGATGTTGTTGTATACTTTTTTGTAAGTTCATAGAATTTGATGTTTAATACCAGACATACACATTTTGGCTGAAAAGGTTGTCTCCTTTTATCTCTCTTTGTTGGATAATGAACCATTATCATACCCATTATTTATTTTTGCTGATATAGAATTGATTCAAAGGTCTCAGTAATGACTCATTATGCCCCAGCTAAAATTGGTAAATATCCAGGTGTATCCCCTCTATATATCCATCAATTTTTATACTGCAATGAGATATTTTGGAGCATATTTTTGTACCAGGTGAAGGCTACTTTTCATTCCACTATTTGTCAGAAAGCAGTTTTATTTTTATAAATCACTTCATTGAATTAAAGGGTACTTAGGTTGAATTATTAGTCTACTGGCCAATTGTAATAGTATGAGTATTTAGTATGTTAAATACTCACACAGTGGGTAGCTTTGAAGGCACACTTTGATTGGCTAATCATACTCAAAATAACCTTTGCTGTTCACTTTGGTACAACATGTGTGGGATTTGGGCCTGAAAACATTGTAATTCAGTTGTTACTGAATGAGTAAAAATCATCTTTTTGTGTTATACTAACTTACTATTTTAGTATATAATAATACAACTTTTCACCTCAGTGTTGGTGGCAAATGGCCACCACTTAATTTGGTGAATTTTTGTTTATAATATTACCCTAGGCTTGCATAGTATATTTTTTGAAACTGATTTACATGATCAATTTTGTTTTGTTTTGTTTTGTTTTTTTGTTTTTTTAATCATGATAGCCTGTGATGGATGGTATGGTACTGGAGTTACAGTTTCAGAATCTGTGAGAACAATTATAACAAGTCCCAACTTTCCTCTTGACTATGACAATGATAAGAAATGCATCTGGCGAGTAAGTACTTCAGATGCTGGCCTTATTATAAAAGCAACCTTCAATGAATTTGATCTACAATATAACACTGGATCAGGAGACTGCCCATTTGATAGTCTGACATTTTCGGATGGTGACTCATCTGGTGGTGATGTTATTGGAAAATACTGTGATACCATTTACCCTGAGGTTATTTATTCAACTGAAAATGGAATGTACATTGAGTTCCAGAGTGATAGCTTACATACATACAAGGGATTCGAGATCACTGTTTCGGCAGTAAAAGCAGGTACCCACAAAAGTAACTAAGTACATTTTAATGATTAATTAACACCTTAAGATCAGTATCCATATTCTCTTGATAGTCTTCTCCTTATATTTCTTTTGGTGCTGACAAGAAGAACTTGTTAAACAAACAAAGATTCTTAGTTTCACAATCATCAGATTTCCTTCATCTCTTTGATCATGATGAATGATTTAACAGTATTACTACATAGAAAAATAGCATGGGTTAAAGCTTTGACTTGGAGTTTATAGGAATACTGTAACTGCATGGCGAATAGAAACAAGCACTTTGTGTTTCTTGTCTGATGTCTATTGCTGTCTGTGATGTATTTATCTGTCATCTCTTGCTGTGAAAGGACCCCAAATGAGGCCTTTGTGATAATAACCCTAGGGGGGTAGCATGGGTAAATGATGGGTGCTGCAGTCTGTATGATAAACAAATGTTTGACAGCAATAGTAACATAGCACTCAGGTTTGCCTGACAGTTTTGGTTTGAAAATGGTAGGGAGGGGTCAGGCTCCCATCAAGCTCCATCAGTATGCACATTCTCCATACTTTTCTCTATAGGTTTCCTAAGTTGCTGACAAGGATAACTTGTTTAACAATCAAGAGCTTCTTAGTTGGTAATCTTTCCTTTATTCTCGTGACCTAATAATGTGTGACTCCAGGGTGATCTTGTAGGAAGAAATAAGATGTGAGTCACTCTTAAGGTTTAAAGGATCAATAGCTGTCATTCATAACTTGAAAAATGTTTCATGAGTGCTGCAATCACACGTTCATTTTTGATATTTATAAATTCATTTTCTTGCCTTCTTATTTTATTAAACCCATTTTATTATTTATTTATTTATTTATTTTTCTCTTTAACCAGAGGAGGGGTTAGGATTGTGTGACCCATCCAAAGGTCAGATCAAGAAGCCTTATGGTTCATCTGGTACATTATATACACCCCAATTTCCGATCCCATACCCAGATGACACCACCTGTATTTGGACAATCACTGCTCCATTTGGGAAAAGAGTTAAATTGATGTTTGAGAAATTCAGTCTCCCCCAAGCCCCTTATTTCCTTGAAGAGCCGCATGCTGATGGTGAATATTGTGGTTATGATGAATCCATGGGTGCAGATCTTGTGGAGATACGGGATGGTCCATGGCCTGACAGCAGACTACTTGGCATTTATTGTGGCTACAAGATGCCTTTTGATGTCTATTCCACTGGGCGCTACTTGTGGGTTAAGTTTCGTTCCATTTCTGATGGCAAGACGAGTCGTGGTATCAAAGCTCCTTTTGAAGCTGTAGACCCCAGTAAGTTAGCTTTTGTCTTTTATGGCAGTTTTCAATTTACTTACCGAAGTGATCTGAGTCAACTGTCAATCATAACAAATGTTTGCGTCATCGTGCCAATGAGGACTAAACGAAAAAACAAGCAAACTACTAAAAGCGCGGTAACACGCGATGGGTTTTCGTTTGCAGGCTGTTTGGTTAGTAAGAAGATGGCTCGAGTTTTCTGGAGCAATTCATGATCTAAGTAGAGCAAACCCAAAGCAATATCGAATTTCTTTCGACACTCACTCAATCGAAAATTGTTCTATGATCATGATACCTAGCTCTATTTGTTTTTTGTTTGTTTGTCAGAAAAATGAAGTACATTTTTTAGGATCGTACAAATGAGGGACCTTTGGGAAATTTTCTTTTCTTAAAAATTGATACAGTTATGACATGCGCGTTTTTTTAAATATTTGTTGAATTCATTTTAACTTTATCCAGTTAACAAACCTAGCATCTTCTGGCTTTACTCTAGCATCATTGAAGTTTATCTGTGTATCTTAGAAAGCTTTGTTTAAATCAGTTTATAGGATAGATCGCGCAAAAGATTTACAATAACTGTCCCATGTAGGAAATACTGAATTTTCATTTCATAGCGAAGCTCGCAGCGCGGGAAGCACACGCGGCGAAGCCCCATACTTACAAAAAGTGGTAATACAGTTGATTGTGATTTTTTTCTTCTCGCTCTTAGTTGTCAGCGAGGAGCGGTGCTTACCTGGAAACTCCAAAAATGTAAATCTGAAACTGACTGGATTAGAAGGAACGCTGCAAAGTCCTCTGAAGTACTATCCACTCAATATGAATTGTGATTGGCTAATCACTGTGCCAGATGATAGCTTTGTGAAACTCAGTTTTGAGAGATTCGACTTGGGCTTAGGTGGTTGCAATGGTGAGGATTTAAGGGATTATGTGGAGGTTCTGGATAGCAAAGAACTTGACAGCGAAAGCAAAGGAAAATTTTGTGATCGGACAATTCCACCTATTATTCGGTCGAGTGGTCGACATATGAGAGTGGTTTTTAGATCCGACGGATCTGGACCATTTTACACTGGATTTAAAGCTGCGTTCACAGCTGTCGAGAAAAAGAGTGAGTCAGGAATGTGAATTTTATTGTTGGATAACATTGTAGTTTTCATAACTGCGGATCGATGTGGATCACATAGATTGGATCACATTTTGTTTACTTTCATTACATGTAATTAAGGGCCCAGATGTCTGTAGCGTGGATAATGCTATTTAATAACACGTCATACCCTGGATATATGATAACAAAACTTCCTGCGCTAACCACCGGATAAAGATTTACCCAGTGGATAGCGTTATCCAAACTGCCAACAACTGTGGCCCGTTGATCATTTTACTGTCGAAAATAATCTAGGATTTCACTGGTTTGTCTCACTACGCTTTTGATTGGTCAAGAAACGTCACGTTATCCTCTCAGCCAATCAAGTTTAAATCCTGACCAGATCACGTACGTTATCCTGCGCTTGAGGCTTAAAGTTCTCAAAGTTATGATTCATATCTTAGGGTAATTTTGGTTTCCTTCGGCTTGTGAGGATAGCGTACCTTTCTATTTAAGATGAAATCAAAGGCACTAAGTCTTAAACTATGCTGCAAATTTGTAACAAACCAAAATATCGAGAGCTCACTTTATTCAGTGGTTTAATTCAGCTGCACGTTGCTCTAAACCGATTTGAAAAAATGCATTTATATTTATAGTTGAGGGTATTTGCCACGCCGTAAGTGGTATAGATGTCTGCAAAAATTGTCAATTGTGGATAGTTGTTTCAGCATTAATTCGACTAGCTTGAAAATTTCACTTCATCATGTTAGTTTTACCTCTTGACTTACCCGGTTCCTTGCTTCAAGGAATATGTTTAGTAGTGGTGTATAATGTGTCTCGATCACTATTTTGTGATCGAGTGTATGTCTCATCTAAAGCTCACAAGATAATTTGGTTCTATCAACTGAGTTGATAATGCATACCGGCCACTATAGATAGTTTTTAAAGCTGCCGTTTCGAGCGTTAGCCCTTTCGCAGAGCGAATGACGAGCTCAAAGGCTAATTAATGTTTTCTTCTCTATTTGCAGATAACACTGTACAGTTGCATTTGACCATCGCGGTCGTCGTTCTCAGTGTGATTCTTCTCATGGTAGTTGCCTGCTTACTCGTGCAACGTTTAAAGCGAAAAAAAAAGCCTCGCAATGAAGCCGCCAGAGGTACAGTTCATATGTCAACAGTCGCAAGGTCAGATTCTGCAACTGAACTCGCGGGAGTGACCGAGCACTCTCCTCCCTCTACCCCTCGCGTTCCTGTTGCCCCATCAGCAAACTCTCCCAGACCCCGACCAGTTGGTTATACTCCGGTGCCGACAGCCCCAAATCTTCCACCCTCAGAAGGCTCAAATTTGGTAGATCTACCGCCAGCGTACCCTACAGAAGAACAGATTCCGCAGTATCCGCCCTCAGGGGAATCATATCCATGGCAACAGACTCAAGCGTCGGCAGACCGCGAGAGTACATTTTGAACGCTTCCCTTTGTTGTTAGAAACGAACAACGCTTTTAGGATCGTTACTCAAACATATTTCAATTCCGAGCATACGATCGATTTCTGTGTAGTCAAAGTCTTCATGGTATTGTTAGAAACCAAGAAAAAGTTTCTCAAGCGTACGAAACGTCCGTGAGTAAGAAACGATTACATACCAAACGAACAACCCTGCATTTTGTTGTTGGAAACGAACAACGTTTCCCTTTGTTGTTAGGAACGAACAACGCTTTAAGAATCTTCATGGTGTCGTCGGAAACAAAGAGCGCTTTAGTGATAAAAATTTCTCAACGTTATTGCCTATTAGCAGTCTGAAATTCAGATCTTTTTAATATTTGTTTCTTCGGGCGACTTGGCTCTTTTTTTCGGGCGACATGACTGAAGTTTCGGGCAACATGACTCAGGTTTCGGGCGACTTTACTTTAAACCTCTGCAGTTATCACATTCTTCAGTGACTCTCTTAACTATAATTTAGCATTTCATTAGTGAAACTAACTATTTACCCAAGCTGTACCTTGTAAGAAAGAGATGAAGGCTCTAAACCTCCCAAAATCCACTGAAAAAGCTGCAATGAACTCCAAAAACAGTTTCATTCAATGGAATATAGGGGGGTAAGTTTCTAAAGAAATTTTGATGCTGCGTCGGTAAGGGTAGCACAAGATACTAGGATAATTTGGTGTTATAAGCTGAGTTGATAATGTAAACTGGCCATCGTAAAGAGTTTCAAAGTTGACGTTTCGAGCGTTAGCCCTTCGTCAAAGCAAATGAACGTTATGTGTTATACTCTCCCACCGACCCAGCACCACAGGTTCTTTAGAAACTTACCCCCTTTATTCATTTGTGGTACAAGATAATTTGTTTTCATCAACTCAGTTGGTAATGTGAATTATCCATTGTAAAGAGTTCCTAAAGCTGACGTTTTGAGCGTTAGCCCTTCGTCATTCGCTTTAGAAAACTCTTTACGGTGGCTCATCTAAATTATCAACTCAGTTATGCTCTGATTCAATTGGTCAACGATCGGCTTGAACCTATGATTATTCACGGGTTTATTTGGGATCAACATAATGACCAGCTCTCAGTTGGCTTGTTAGCGCTGCACCGGTATCGCAGAGGTCATGGGTTCAAATTCTGTACAGGCCTTAATTATTTTCAGGCCTTATTTTCACTACTGCTTAAGTAGTGTTCATGGCTGCGAAGATCGCTTCCATATTCGTTTCTTTAACCGCAATTCACATATATGATTTTCATATATTCACAGTCAGTGCT